TTCGTGTGACAGTAGTTACGGACACAGGCGGCGGTGGCGGGGACAACTACGGCGCCGCGCCTGACCCGAGTTTCGATCTCATAACAGCTTTCGCTGTAAAATGCGTACACTTAAGACCGCAGTTAACGTCTTAACATAAGGTATTGCATACAAGTCATATTCGTAAAGTCATACTATTTCTGCTCTCTTGTCTTGATGGTATACTGTCTGGACTAGTCGTCGACATTGTAAATTGAGAGAGAAAGAGAAAAAAATAACGCGGGAAGGCAGGAATGTTAACCGGAGACCACATCGCTGGTTAGCTACCCTGCACTACTGAAGAGGTCAGGGGTACAGAAAGGCAAAGAATAAAAGAATCGAAACAGGAAGCGGGTCAGCCGAAAGAAGTCTTGCAAACACATGTGTAAGAGCGTCATAATCGTTCGCCGAGGCGCATCACTCGTAGAATATTGATAGCACCTTTGTCACTTCCTCCATGAAGCATGATCGTTCATGCATTCTAAGATTGCTTTCTCAGAGAGCGATGGTCACCGAAGTGCGCAAACACTGTTGAGAGGTGTTGTCTCAGAGGGCCGTACTGGAGGCCATCACATAGGACGTGTTCGATGGCTGCACGACTGCCTCAGTGTTTACATGCAGCACTGTCATAGCGACGCGGTCCCAGACCAGACGTTCTTTAAGGACACCGCAAGCCATACGCGGCCGAAAGCGGTCGTCCCAAATACCCCCCGCCCCGCCATCACACCTTACTGAAATAAAATTCATGTAGACCTATGCAGGAGATACACTGACTCGAAGTGCCGTGGATTGCTTAGGCATCGCAGCAGGGGCTCTAGTGTCTTGCCAAAAACTTGAACAGCCGAATTAGTAGTATGGAAGGTCATCTACGTCCCATATTACTATGCTCACCTTTGGATGTTGTAGCAGTCAAGCTAATTAACGTGGGGTCTCTTTTATTAGCATACTTACTGTCCACAATACTAAATTATTACCAAAACAGTTGCTGGTAAACGAAACGCAAGTATTATTCTCATATGCTTGCACTGGAAATATTGACGTCAAAGTTGCAACATTTTGGGCTTGTAAACAAAGAAAACACCTAATCGAACTGTTTCTGTCTAGTGTCGACAAAGCGATGGCAACGGCAGCGCCATATATTGCTGTAGCGGACGATAGTCTTGAATTCTTTCGGCCTTCGACAGTCCCATTAGGATGACAGTCATTTCATGCTTGACCTTTCACCATGTTCACTCATTTTTTCATGTGCCTCCCAGTCACAAGAAGCCGTTTGCTTAGATGAGCCGAGAGCTTGGAATTCTTCGGCCCCAAGAACGATATCGTGGTTGAAAAAAAGACATCCAAAATGTACGACGTGGATTAGGAAACGAGCGAAAAGATCAATGAACCACCGAGAGTTCTCACATTGTATCGGTGGTGTACTTGCTGCTGACAGGAGTAATATAAAAGGGCTCTGTAACTTTGGAGAGTCTTCGATAGGAATCCAAAGAACAGTAAATAAAAAAGTGGGGCTTTCTCGACTGATAAGGGGCTTTCTGGCGTCTGCTTTTATTCTTGTGGTTGAGAAAGTAGCAGACAAAAGGGTCTGAGAGATAACTTAAAATACATGATGGTACAGATGCGCTACTATCTTTGTAAGGTGCGTTTCATGGACAGTTTCAAAGGATGGCTACAATTGTTCTTCGATGAAGTAGAAGACGAAGTAGACGGAGTTGTCAGTGGATGGATTCGTACACTTTGGGATGTGGTTAAATGTTCTGTTCAAAGAGGCTAAATAATATTTCTCAGATTCAAGTGAACAGATGACTTGAATAGGTCGTTCATGCCCATGAAAAACTAAAAGCAGTATCGCACTAGTGGCGCCAAGCATGAATCAAGTACTTAGCTGGGGAGAATCGCTTATTTCTCTTTATTCTTTTGTTTCTTTATTTGTTTTGTTTGATTCTAAGTAGTATTTGCTAGTCGGGCTAGTTGGTAGAAGGCTGAGGTTGAATTGACTGGTCCTAATACTCAGACAAGGACAAACAACACAGGATGTGGACAAGCGCAAGCTCGTTATTGGTGTTGCGTACAAACGTCCACTGAGATTCAGCAAGATATGCATCGGTCAAACTAGCTGAAGTATTAATGAATGGTTAACAAAACATGCCTGATGTAATGAAGTTGGACAGTATTTCAGGTACCATATCACTGCAAGGATTGCACGAATGAACCTCTGGTGGGCAACGTATTTTTATATAATTATTTATTCAAGGAACAAACTGGAGTTTAGGATGTCATAGTTGAAATCAGGAAGATGAAATGGAAATGGGCCGGACATGTAGCGCGTAGACAGGATAACCGGTGGTAATTAGGGGTAACTAACTGGATTCCCAGAGAAGACAAGCGGGTTAGGGGAAAACAGAGGGTTAGGTGGGCAGATTAGATTAGGAAGTTTGCGGTTGTAAAATGGCAGCAGCAAGCACAGGACCAAGTTTTTTGGCGCGACATGGGAGAGGCCTTTGTCCTGCAGTGGACGTAGTCAGGATGATGATGATGATTATGATGATGATTGTGATGATTTATTCGACCAGTTTGTTCGATTAGCAATAGGCACGAATGGAAAGCCGTGTTGAAAGATCTTCACAGCACATCAACAAATCTGTAGAAAAACAAAGATCGTAAACGTAATTCTATGATCGACGCATCACTGTTATATCTGTAACCTTTTATCCGAATCACACTAGCTTCTAATAATATAGGATTGGATCAAGTGATGTTCCAACGATTATTCTTATTTTGCTTTCTTTGATCTTGTACGCATTATTGAGGGTTGTTCAGCAGAGCTCTTCGTAGAATCAACTTTTGCTTTTTCTTAATACCCGAAGGGTGGATTGGCCACGCTGTTAATACAATAAACTTCAGGTGGGAGTGTGCACAAGTCCATGTCCTGTGTTCATCTCTGGTGAAAACGTATAGCCAGTTGCTTCTTGTAGCAGCTTTTTTTTTTACCTGTTACTCACTATTTCTGTGTCTCTACATGTTACTTCCGCTCTCTATTTATTGCTTTATTTTTTCTATGTCTAACAAATACCAAAATAACAAATTGTTCAATCACAAAATTGTAGGCATGTTGCCTTGGCAAACAAATTCATGAGCTGCCCAAAACATGCATACTGGGATAAAGAAAACTATCATTTTGAAGAAATTGAAACTTTTGCAGATGTTTCAACAAATACAGATCTATTTCAAACAAATTCTAAAGGAGGAATGAAGCAGCGTTTTTCTTATTTATGACTCTTGGTTTGCATAATAGAGTGCTTATTTTTCTCAAAGTGTACCCTCTTCCTATGCGATACATTGAGGTGCTCCTGAGACATTGCGTTTATATTGTTAGCTCTTCCGCTGTCTGTTATCGCTTTCAGGTGAAATACAAAACTATGAAACACAAGATACATTAGCATTCCTGAATGTGTTTTTCTGCCATTTATGAACATGCGTCACGTAAAAGCCCACAGGACGGCAAGACGCTTAGTAAGAACAAAAAAGCGGTGTGTCATCAAAACACCCTAACACCTGGCATGAGAGAAGACACGGTTGCCACAAAAATGAGTCGCTGATTGATCAGTTTTAAATTTCTTTTTATTATTTCAAATAGTTTTCATTCCTTCAAATTGTATTCAAATAGCTTTGAATACAATATTTCATACATCATTGTCACTTTAAGCTCATAGCTTACAGAAATATTTTATTACTTAGAGGTGCACAGTACCACAAAACTATCCGCTCATGGAGAACGGGAATCAAGAGCCCTGAAGGAAACAGAGAAGAACGCTCTAACTCGAAGGGAAACGCAATGCTGCTATATACAAAAAAGCTTTATTGCGTATTGAAGTGAACTATGCTAATCTGAAACAAAACGAAAAAACGGGGTGATGGCTTGTTATTTTACAGAGATACCGAGAAATCCTGAGTGTGGGAAAGACTGTCGGCAATGTTTCTGTTTTGCCGGATTATGTATACAAAGAAGAAAGACAAGCAAGGTTCTGATATCATTTCCGGGTACCGTTAGTGGGCAAACAGGGTCGAGATTCATATTGCTTTTTGGTGCACTCAAATAATTTCGCGATAGTGAAGACAACGCTTCTGCCTGTAAACTGTAAACAGTATTCAAGGTTTATATACACTTGGTAATTGGAAGAAGAGTAAGTTATCTGTGCTTCCTTTATTTGTCGTTCACAGATGACGTCGTGGGTCGCGATATATATATATATATATATATATATATATATATATATATATATATATATATATAATATATATATATATATATATATATATATATAAGTGTGTGTGTGTATGTATGCTTTCAGCAGTTTGAAATTCCTATGCAGCTGCTCATACATCAGGTGGTTACTCGGCAACGAAAAGCTATAAATATTGAAACAGCGCAAGACATCTTATTGTTCATTTCGATGAACTTGGAAAAAAATGACTAGAACAAGAGCTACCTTCAAAACGACCAACCTCGCGCGGTCTGGTAACGGACCGTGCAAACTGTTGTTGTCTCTACTTCGATCGCTCCGAGCTGTTTCTACACCTTTACTTTTTTTAGCCTTTGTATTTCCCAATTTCCCCCTTGCTTCCTCTCGCTACCTTAGCGCCATCTCATCTCTTCCCCCTCGCTCACTCCTTCATTTTCAGCTGCAGTGGCGCCATCTACATTCTTCCTACCGTGGCGTTGGCGTCGGGAAGGCGTGCGCTTAGTATGCGTCCCGTTCGTCGATGCGGGCAGTGTGTGCGGAGTGGTCGTCGCGGAACCCCCGAAGAAAAAAAAAAGGAAGACACGTTGAATGTTTTGACGAAGCGGTGGCAGCTCCCTCGTATATCTATGGTTTCGACCGTGATTTCATAGAGCGTCTTCAATCGGAAGCAACTATAAACATCTCCAGAGCGCACGATAGCATCGGACTTGGGTTCGTCTCAGTGCGTGAAGACTGTCAAGTTGGTAAACCCCGGTTAACACACTGCGCGCACAGAAAACTGCGCCAATTTCGACAAACTTAAAGCGTAGTAAAACTGACGCCTTCGTGTTGTGTTCTTGTGAGTCGACGGAAGACGGAAGCACTTTTACACAAGTTTGTCTCTCGGATACAGTTCTTCGTGACGTGGACGTTTCGTTCGTTATTACCAAATTTCGAGCGAAAGTGACACGTGGTTCCAGCTGTGTGCTGCCAAGATAAAAAGTAATGAGTGGCGCCGCCGTCTTCCGCTAGCGCTTCAATTGTTAAGACCTCAAGGTGAGTTTTCTTCTTCTGGCAGATTTTACGGAAGCTTGAATTGTGGCCTACTTCACTCACACTGCCATGCATCTGCCGACACAAGCTGAAAACAGCAGAATTTCTGTGTCATGCGGAACAAAAAAAAATCTTTTCGCAATTGCTTCGCGCCTTGCTAATAAATCTCATGCTTAATGCGTTCTTCATATTGTGGTCACGTTTTGTGTAAATGTGACAAATAGATGCTGTAGTACTCAGCCAGTGAAAATGTTTTGTGCTGACAGAGCAAAAAGCGAAATTCAGCACTTCGTAGAGGACGGACTCTAAGGAATGCCAGTTTTTCTGCGAGTACTGACATTTAAATACGGGTATCCTAAACTATAGAAGAGTTTAACGTTTTAGGAGCTCGAATTTTCCTGATGCATTATGTACATCATCGTTTTCAATATACTAGTTATCAGAGACATGTCGAGAAATATTGATATGCAGGTCAAATGCAATCTCATTTGTTTGACTGATAAGCAATAAAAATATAGAAAATCATCGTAATACAAGAATATAACAGTACGTAAGCTCAAATTCGGATTCGCCGAAAGACGTGCACACTTGATGAAAGAAACTCGCGCAAAAAGCCATGAGATAGCCAGAAAAGGTAAATGAGAAGTAAAATAGAAAAAAAACAACATGTAGATGTATGACAACCTAATAACTGCCACCATATCCCAAAGAGTGTCATCGATTTGTGAGCTCCAGGACGCAGTAAGGAAAGCAAACAGGGATGAGCAGGTGCTAATATCTAGAAAAAACGTTTTGCACATTCTTATGCTACGAATGAAATATTTCAATCTTTTACAGCGAAAGGTGTTACGAGATCACAACACGAGTCGCGAGCGCACCGTAGTTGTCCGCTGCTGCCACTGCTGCTGCTGGTGTCCGTAACCGCTATATCGCACAAAAAAACTCAGTAAATAAAACTCCATGGACACAAAAAAGATGTAAACTCGAGTCCCCGTGCCAGCGCAGCATTCTACCACTTGAGTCATGCTGGTGCTTAGAACGCCTTTGCAAACTGACCTTAGACAGGCTTGATTTCGGGGAAGGAATCACGTTATTATGAGTAATAAAGCGTTTTAGATCAGCGAAGGACCCATCAGGTGTCACATTATGCAAATTGCGCAAAGAGTGGGTCGTCGAATGCTCCAACCCTTTACGAAAGCTTGGTCTTCTTCACCTATGAACTGTGGTGCATACCCTCTGCGACGAATTGCGGAGCTTAGAAAAGATTTTGGCATAATTATTGATCGTTGCCAGCAATTGCACAGAAGAATTGCACAAAATCGTGTGCAACCGAGAAGCGAGTACCACGCTACTCAAAAGAATGGCGAAGAATGACCTAGTGAATGCCTGACTACTACACCATGAATAATTGTGAGTTACTCTGCACGTTTGGTTGCAGCAGTTACCCAAAGAGTGTTAAAAAGGCTCTGAAAGAGTGCTGTTAATTACAGTGGTCGCTGGGACACTGCTCTGGGTTCCGCGCCGGCATGGTGGTTTTTCTGAGGGCACCGGCATTTGTGATGCCCCCTGATTGATCTACAGTGTGAGTGTGCAAAGCACTTGAGTGCATGGCAAACATTAGTGGACTGTGAGGAAACTTGACCTTTTCAGTTTAGCGAACACTACACTTCTTTTTGTTGACCTCACAATAGCCTCTATGTAATCACGAAGAAACCAACAGTAGTCGTTGTCATCAACTGGCGACGTTTTCATTTATTTTCAGTTCAGTTAGAAAAGCAGATAATTCTTATACTCGCATTTTTTCTTATTTCGTATATTTCAATTGGTTCCACGCAGATGAGCTTTTTTTCCTTTGAAAAATATTACTCTTCTAAGGGATGCACACTTTCTTGACACGATTTCAAAGAAGCATTGCAGCCTTTACGGCGTCTTTTATGCGGGACCGTAACTGCCGGAGGATTTTCTGGAGATGCCATTGTCGAAAACTTCTTCCGCGCAACTTTCGGGCTAAGAATAGTGTGTCACTTTTATAGCGCGAACGCTGTTCGGGACCTGACAGTCTGTTGGACGCTGCCCGTTGACAGTACAAATCGTACATTTTTTTTAACGTAACGTTTATTGTGGAGCAACTACAAATTCAAAATGATCTAATGGATGTCTCTCTCTTGAAAGCGCTATGAAGTGCGCATCGAATTCGTTATAAATGCTGCACGGCAATGAAGTTGCGTATTTTGAAGAAAATGGACACATACTGTCACCACATTACCGAGAATCAAGACGCATCTCACATGCCTAACAGGGAGAAGGTATAGTACCATTGTCCAATAATAGTTTTTATTATCTTATCTTATCGATTGAGTGGCAGTCTTAACTTTCTGTCGTAGGTTGCAAGCCGTATCGTTGTGTCCAACGTAGAGCTTGATGATCGGAAAATTGAAACAAGTTGCACACAAAATTCCCGATTTGGCAAAGTGAATTAGAGTTCAAGACTAATATGACGCTTATTTTAAATTTGATATGCTGCACTAACGTTTCACCATTCATACTCCTTTCATTTAACTAAAGGCACCTCATTTTGCCAAACACGTGATAGCGAGATTCTATTCTTTACCTTGCTTGATGGCCGAAGTATTTTCTTTGTTGCAAATAACTGCTGCTGCCTTTCACAGAACCTTTTACATTTAGCAAGATCAACTAATCCAAGCTATAAATTTAACAATAAAATGATTTAAGAACATGCAGACATGGTAAAAACTTTTGAGAAGATTCTCACGTTTCGTATTTGAGCAGGAAAAGTTTTAATGAAGTTGGGTGCCAAAGTAATTAAATTTTTCCATCAGCGCTGAAGCGACAGCTTTCACGCTAGATTTAAAAGAACAGTGACGGGCGATGAAGCCTGTTACTGACAGTTTCGCATGTGCAAGGTTTCATTACAAAGATGACACTGCGTCTTTTTCTTCGTAACTTGCTCATTTTTTGATAAAACCTCACTGGAGCGTACTTGCATACTTTCATCTATTAAGTTAGAAGCCAATGAAAGAAAAAAAAACTACGTTGCGCACGTCAATCGAAAAAAAAAACCGCAGTGGCTTAGCTCGGCTATGCCAGGATGTACGCAGCTTTATGGACAAATGAACAGACAGACACACACAGACAGATTGACAGACAGATGAACGAAAGAACTGGGAGATGGATGGATGGTCGTGTACAAGCGCGGAGGGACGAATGGACGGATTAGCTGGCGAGCTTACGCGAGTCGCGAACGCATTATAGTGACGCGTCACTTCAGAAGCTTCCAGGCCTTCTCCAGCGCACAAGCTGTGTGCTGCCACTGTCACTTGGGGATGCGCAGCATGGCTCTCGATAAGCCATGCAAAAGTTCTGAACATCGACCAGTGTAGCCTGTGGTGCAAAGTTTGGTTATTGAAGGTAATATATGGTAAAAAGAGATCATTTTAATACACTTGAACCGCGCCTTTTGAATAAAAAATATATTTTTAGTTCAATGTATTGTGTGAATTCTGTTAAATGAAAGCAGGCATTAAATTAAAGTTTTTGGCTGAGTCCTGTTATGTTAACACTTATTTTCTGCTTTTAAATTACCATAGCGCTTGACGATTTGGCGACATCGACGGTCGATTCGCACAGATTCCTCAATTTATTGTTTAGATTTTTGTATGTTTTATTACTGATACATTGTGCAGTTTGCTGTGTATTCTGGATGTCGCCGCACAAATGCAAAAAGCAGGAATACTTGTAATGACTGCACAATGTTTTGTTATTTGATGCATCAATGACCGCTTCGAAGTCATTGTACTTGTGCTTTCTCCATCCTGTCGCGCACCACAGAACAGTAGATAAAGAACACGTGTCGTGAGATCAGCACGAAAAAAATGCCACAAACAAGACAACATACTTTAAGCTTTTGCAATGAAAGAAACTGAATGATTTCGCCCCGAGTTGGAGGAAAGATTGAAATGAGAAATCCATTGACGTGATGACGGCTGTAACAGATAATCTCGGCATTCATTCTGTACTGTGTTCGTGGATAGATAGATTTACTTTATTTGGTTCTTCAGAAGTTCCTTTAGCCGGTTGCGGGCCGCTCCCACGTTGGAACATAAACACCAAGTCTCTCTGCTGCGTCGCGGGCCCGAAGGACTGCCCGTAACTGTTGTTCGAGTCTGGAGCTTGCAATAGCACTGTCCTATTTGAACGGCGTGATGACTTCCCTACAGCCTAACGCAGGGCACCACCAGAGGAAATGGTACATGTTAGCTATATCGTAACCGAAGGAACGTGTGTTAGTTGGCTGTATTTCAGGATAAGTTTTGTTCAAAAACACGGGGTTATGGCACACCCCGCCCTGAAGAAGCCTGAGCTTCAGAGCCTGAGGTCTGCTTAGTTTTCTGTGTGGTGGAGGGTATTGTCTCTATACGTCAGGTAAAAATAATTTGTCAGTTCGTTATACGAGATGTGAGGGTCGTGGTTCTTCAAACCATCAGCGCCGCCCCCCCCCCCCCCCAGATAGCTACGTGGTTTACAAGTTCTCGTGCATCTATGTAGGCTGGCTCGTTGAAACTGGGTGGGGCTCTCTCAATGCATCCCATATGAGCTGGGAACCAACTGAGTGTGTGCGGCTTGATGTCTTTGTCCCGAAGAATTCACAAAGCTGGTTTCAATATTGTTCGAATTTTCAGACGGCCGATCTCGATTAGCCATAAAGTGTGGACCTCCTGTTACCCAGCAAGACTAACGTAGTTGCCACTTGCTCTGCTATTTCAGCCGCCGTCGTCCGGACCATTGTAGAGTTGATGTTAATACCCTCGTAGTTCATGCTCACGGCCGGATACTCTTTCTTCTCGAGATATTGGCCGCATCGACAAAAGAGCAGTCCCCGGCATGTTCCTGAGCCCTTTCTAGTAGAGCCTTTGACCTGGTCCGTCTTCTACCCTCTTTATGTTCGGGGTGGACATTGCGCGGGATGGGGACAACGTTGATTT